CACAGACACAGCAGTGCTGCAGGATGGAGCTGTCACAGACACAGCAGTGCTGCAGGATGGAGCTGCTGCAGAGGCCCTGGGCACTCAGGGACTGCAGCCCAGCTTTTAGTCAGGTGCCAGAGCACTGACTGAGAGCTGCTCACTTTGGCCAGTGCTTTGTTGCAGCTCCTTGGCCACCACCACCACCCACACAGCAGCTGCCCCTCACACACCTCCCCAAATTGCTGCTGGGCTCTAAAGCAGCAAAGGGCAGAGGGCTCTCACAAACAGCTTTTGATTAAAATAGAAAATAACATCAACTTACATGAAAATATATTTCAGTGCTTGTTTGAAATTTTGTTTTTACTCTAATAAAAAGGCAATCATAATCTCTCACAGATTGTTGCTCCCCCCAAAAAAAGCATATCACAATATGCACTGACTGCAAATGCCACATTTAAATATTCAACACAGCCATACTTGTGGAGAGCTGAGAGAAAATTCTCCTGCTTTCTCTTCCTCCTCATTCAGCAAATCAGGCAGAGGATTTTGAACATAAATTCAGAAAGTATTTCCATAAACAGATATTTCAGCAGTTAAGACTGAGGTTTTAAGCAGTTCTGTCTCTCCATAAATGAAAATCTTAAGATGCTGCAATAATCTCTAAGAGACAAAACAGATGGAAAAAATAAAGGAATAAAGTATCTTATGACTAAGATTTTGGCAACACAAACCCAATGCTTCTGTTCTTTACCTAAATGTTTAGACTTGCAGCAGGCAAAACCAAAATAATTTTGTTTTAAATATGTGGCATGTTTTATGTAGAGCACACTTTTCATATAAAGAAAAAAAAATTACATGGGAAAAGTGACTCAAATAAAAGAAAATACTTCAATATTATTCACTGGGTTTTGCCAAGAACCCCCAGAAAGAAAGCAGGGCTTACATACCCGTGCAGACATGGCAGTGCCCCAGGGCCTGCAGCCACAGAGCCCCAGCCTCACCCAGAGGGTCCTGAAGGGCACCTGGGGGAGGGCTGTCCCCAAGGACTGCCACCATGGGCTGTCCCCAAGGACTGCCACCATAGCCAGGAACAGCACCAGTTTTTATTCCTTTTGCTACCTTGTGTCCCCATTACACAGCTTACCTGTGTTCTCTTGCCCAGTGGCCCTGGTTTTGCCATCCTGATTCCCCCTTTTTGGTATTGGACATTTTCTCCATCACCCGCCACAGCAGCTGCCTGAGCCCTCATTTTTTTATTTACAAGATTTCTCCACTTCTCACACTGTTATTTTGTTATTGCAGCCACAAGTGAGCGTTGGCCTGGACAGCTTGGGCATGACTTGCTCTTTGATTTCTGGGTGGTTCCTGCAGCTCCCTGTGTCTCCACTCTGTTTGTGCCACTTGGTGGCCACGTGCCTGGCACTGTTTGGGTCTCAGCAGCCTCTCCCACTGCTGTCCCCAAGCTCACAGCCAGGGCAGGTCGGGCATGTGCCTCTAATGGGTACCAGGAAATTGCACTGAGATGGATCCACTTGCTGAAGGAAATAAGACTAAAAAATAGCAAAGCACCTACCCAAGGATCCCTGTGTGACCTCAGACCTACAGACTGAAATTCCTGCAGGATGTTTAAAGAGATGCAGCCAATACCTTGAAATAAATGCATTTTAGGGAACCTGTTTTGACTAAGAAGTGGGGAAAAAAAATTAGCATTAGGGCCATGAAAGCCCATACTGATATATAAGTAAAAATGTGTACATGTTTGCATGTAAAATCATGCAGCTTAAAAGCACACACACCTTTGGGGATCTTTGGTTACTGGTTTTAATCTGTTTCAAGTTATGATCCTCAAATTGCGTTTTCCACAATTGGTTTTAGCTGAGCTATGATGCATTGAATTTAGAAACCTTAAATCTTCTTCATCTTATGTTATTTTTTGGAGATGAATATTATAATACATTTCATTTCACACTGGTAACAAGTGTAAGACTTGAGCTAAATATTTACTGTTAGAAAAATGTAATGCTTTTATTTTTGAAGCAGAGCAGCTACAAGGTGGTCTGTAAATGTTTGTCCTTTCTACTTCAGTGTTAATAACCACGATTGTATGACCTCATCCAAGAAACCCACAAGAAGCTGGCTGTTCTTTTTCTATCGTGTTTGTGCCCTTTACATCATTTCCTACCTCTAATAACTAATGATGATAGGTAATTACTTAACAGATGGCAAAAGCTCTTGAACTGCTTTTAAGGACTACTGAGCTCTGCTGCATTTTGGGAGCATTAACTTCTGTCACTTTCCATCTTCCTCGGGTCATTCCAGGTTTGTTCAGCCATCACTAAGTATTCAAGGGCTTGAGAGTTTTGTGGTTTTTAAAATCAGAACTGGGGGTTAGTAACGTGCTCCTTCACACTATTGTTATTTCAAATTCTTCTCTTTTGTGAGGCCAATCTTAACCCTGAGAAACCAGGAGCCCTCTCTTCCCCCCGTGGGATGAGCACAGCAGCCCAGGCAGCCCAGGGCACCCGACCTTCAGCTCCCACAGATGCAGATTCTCTCTCCTGCAGCCAAAACTGTCACATCATTAACAGGAGGCTGGGGAAAAGTCAAACCTTAAAACTTAGAGGGGTTGGTCTTATTCATGTCCTTAGGCTGCATTTACATTTTGTCCCGAGTTTCACAGGCAGGAGAAATTCTACATCAGAGAGGGCAGAAGTGAGGGATGAAGTTCACAGCTGAACACACACAAGAGTCAGTGACTCCCTCCACACTTCCCCTGCACTTTGAGTAAGTTGCACTTTAACCACAATAAGTGATGGCCTAATAACTCAAGCTCCACTGTACAGCACCAGCAACTCTGCTGCTGCTTTTCCAGTTCGAGCAGCTGTTTGTCTGGCTCTGGTAGAAATGCTTATGAGGAGCTGTAGCTGAAGACACAAAATTAACTCAAAAAAATTTACTGCGGCACAAATTAGCAAACACTATGTCTAGAAACAAATAAGTCATTTTTATGAGTGCTGCTAAAATAAACTCTTGCATTTTGCATGAGACTGTTAAGTTGGAAATAATACACAAATAAAGTCAGTGTGATTTCTTCAGCTTTAGGATCAAACAGCCCTCCTGGTATACGGCTGTAGTTACGAGTGATTAGGTTGTACATTTCTCATCTGATGCAAAGAGCTGCACATAGATCACTGGACACACCACAGATGAGCTCTGGTTGAGTGTGCCCAGAAGTGTGATTCACTGCTAAAAATAAATGTTCATAACTGATTTGGTACTTAAAATGAAATGGATAGGTAATATAACGAATGGGTTCCAAAGCAGAGGTTGTGAAACCTCTGTTTGAAGTGAATATTGTAAATGCCCCTCTGTTTCTCACCCTCCAGTGTCAGTGTGAGCTCACCCTGCTGCACTGCCCATCCCTGAGTGGCACTCAGTGGCACTGCCACCTCCTGGGTGCTGGTCAGTGATCACTGCTGAACAAACAGCTCTGAGCTCAAGTGACACACTTGTTCCACAGCTCAGAGAAGCACATCAGGACTTGCTGATTTTCCTTGGCACAGCTCTGCAGTGCCTGAGCACAGGCATCAGCCTCCCATTGGTGTGCCCTGAACCCCAGTGCCTCCTGCAATTCTGCAGTTTTAGTTGGGATTGAGAGGAAAATGATCCTGATTTGCCCAGTGAGAACCCAAACATGCCCTCAACTTGTACTTGGTTCAATAATCTCCAGCACATGTAGCAAACTACTGTTTGGAGGAGATTATGTTCACACACAGAGTGATACCTATAATCATCACCATACAAAAATGGACCCCCTAGGTATTCATTCTTGATGTACTAAACACTTCCTTTGCAATTCCATTGGCATCTGACATCACTGTTCCATAAATTTAGAGTGTTGCTGAGTTGTTTTGTACCATGGTTCCTTATGGTTTAGCAAGTCTAGGTGGATACAGCTGATTGTATGAGCCATTTGCATTTTCTGCTTTTCTACAAGATAACAGATACTGCCTAAAAACTTTTAAAACAACACTATCTTTGCACAGCTTAAGAAATTGTTATGAATAAGCAAAATCCTTGGTTATGTTACACTCTAAATTAGCCTGGGCTTTACAAGAGTTTGCAACAGATAAGGGAAAAGAATGAACAAAATTCACAACAAACCAAACACAAGTCTGGGAAGATTCCATGTGAGGGGAAGCTCCAGAAGTGTCCATGCCTGAAATACAAGGGAGAGAACTTGTGCTCCAAAAATTCTTCCAAGATGCATTTTTTTACAAAAAATCTCAGAAATAATTATTTTTATATTTTATATATGGTAGTGAATCAGGCAAAATCATGAAACTGCATAAACAGTAGTTAGATGTAATGTACATTATTCACTCCTGCAGTCTGAGAAAAGAATTGTAGTCTCTCTTACATATCAGATTTTTAAAACAGAAGACAGATCCTTTCCCTGCCTGAAAAAATGTACAAGGCGTGTTGTGTGGAAACAGAATTCTCCTCGTGCTCCTTGAGCCCTCCAAAGTGCACTAAAAGCCAGCACTTTGCAGAAGGCTCCCTGAAGCTGACAGGACCAAACCCAGGAATGGTCAATCACCTCAGTTCCAGGTTGTGATTCCCAGTCCCAGCAGGAGCCCTGAGCTCATTCCCAGCAAAGCCCTGCTTCCCATCAGCCCCAGAGGGCCAGGCCACAGCACAGCCCTGCAGCATTCCAGCCTTGCCATCCTGGAGAAAAGCCAAACATAGGGAGGAGGGGAAACAAAGAAGCACCTCTGGTTTAATTAAGGGCTGAAAAGCCACAGGTTTCTGCTGATATTTGAACTAATCACAGTGTAAAATTATCATTTGGTAGGATTTTTTAGATTTGCTGCAGTGTCATGGCTCTAGCAGAAAGCATGTACAGGAATGTGTTCTCAAGGTTCTTGGCTAATGGGTTTCTCCCTGTCTTTACCTTATTTATTTGGATTGAAACAATAATATTAGAATTGCTTCCACAGCCTCTGGGAACTCCAGCACACAACTTGCACTACAGCAAAACTCTCTTACTACTAAAACAGGACCTCTGGCAATTTGTAGTTATAAAATTGTATTTTCAAAAGGCAAAATAAGTGAGTTGGTGTTACCAAACATGACAGCAGGTCATTCAGGGGACAGGGCAAAAACACTGAGCTGGAGAAAGCATTAGTAAACAATCCATATTCCCATCACCTGTGCTGCTAAAATTGGTTAAAGCACTGATGGAATTCACCTCTGAGCCAGAGGTTTAATTTATTCTAGAGAAGCTAAGGGAGACACCAACACCTGACTGGCAGAGCCCCCACCACGTGTTCCAGGACCCTCTCCCCACACCAGGCGTGAAGCAGACATGGATTTGCTGTCTCCTTTCCAAGGACTCCTGGGAAGGGAGAGCAGAGGAGATCTCACCTTACAAAGAGCTGGCTGCACTCCACATCTCTGAGCTCAGGGGCCTCTGGAGTTTGCTGGTGTAGAAGTACCCAGGGAGAGCTGGGACAGGTCCTGGGGGCCATTTCATCCTGAGAAGGGAGGTGGAGATCAAGTCAGGATTTAACAGAAATGAGAGTACAAGGATGGCTCTTTTTCATCCTCTGGTTGGAGCCAAATAATGCAGCAAGTGGATCAGGCCAAACTCAATAGACCCTGTTAAGGTTTTTGTCCTAATGACCACTCACAAGTGAGTCTAAGGAAATACTTAAATAGTGCTGCTGTGGAAAGGCATCTGAGAAAAATATCAAGCACTGCACCCAAAGTACAGTGAAAGTCTGCAAATCTAAATGAGTTTGATAGAAAACTGCAAGACTGAAATAAACTTTACAGCATTTATTCTTCATCCCAATAATCTTCACCAAACAGAGGTTGTCAATCTTCTGCAGATTGGGAGATTAAGGAGAATAATAAAATGTTGGTAGTAATAATATCTGTTTCTTATATATTTTTATACTCTTTTAAATTATTTTTTTAAACTTGACTCCACTCTAGTGGAAGGAAAAATAATTAGGAAAAGGAAAAAATCAGCTTAGGTAAAATGAAGCCTTGCTGGTTAGGCAGCAGCTGGGATTCTGATGGTCTGGTGCACAAACCTACACGGTGCCTTCAGGAGCTCCACAGAGGAGCCAACCATCTGTAGCTGTGGAGATCAGGGAATAGCAGGATGGGAAATAAAGGATGGGAAGCAAAGAGAACTCATGGTATTAGGAGTTTACCCCCTTTCCTTTCTCTGTTTAATTTTCTAGGAAAAAAAATGAAAAAAAAAAAAAGATAGGTATAGATTGTCATTTTTCTGGATGGGATTTTTCACAGCTAAAAGGAAATGTTTATAAAAGGTACATTATTGTTGCTGTGTCTGCACCAGCACCACAGTCATCTCACTGAACTGCCAACAAGTGCATTTACATTTAAAGAAGCCATCTTTCTTATCCTGCTGGTGTGAAATAACAAGCATTTTGGAATAAAATGGCAGTGTTTTATTTCTGAGCACCTGCATGTAACATTACATCCTTAACTCTTAGTCTGTACAGTTAATACTGTCCATCTGATGAAAAGGAAACTCTGATTTTACTGGCAGTAACGAAGAAATTTAGACCAGGATAGTACAATATGCATCTTTGAGAAAGGTCCCAACTATGGATGAGAATTTCTTACTATAGGAAAAGGTTTCTAAAACCTGTTACTGAAAAGAAGTTATCTTGGAAAAAAGGATCAGACAATTTTCTTTAAAGCTCAGCCATTATGAAGTTTTTTAATCCTCAGAAATCCACAGTCTCCTCTAGCAGCTTGGAGCTTTCCTCTCTTCATATTAAGTAAGGACAGATTTTCTTACTTACATAAAAAGCCCGTGGAAAGAAAAATCCTGCTTAATTCTTCACAGCAGATCTCTGAGCACAGAGCAACCCTACATTGCTCTTAAAAACAGGAATGGAGTTCTGGGCACAGCTTACAGACTTGGGCTCTGCTCTAGAGAGATACCTTAAGCAGATGAAGATGAATTTTATTAAGCTAAATCCTTTGACTTCTGCCCTTGGACTTTGGAGCAGGTTGAATGTGATTTCAGGAAAGATCATATCCGAGCTTTGGACTTTCAAAGAACTGAGAAAAACACACGTGCCCACTTCAAACCTCTCATTTTGACCTGGGAATACAAACCATGGCCTGTGCCACCTTGTGAGCAGAGGAGGGGCACAGGGACACACCTCTGGAAACAGCTGGAGAATTTTCAGACTTTTGTGCTGCTGAAAATAGCAATACTATTTGCCCAGTGGGTGCTTCATTTTCCTTGGGCAATGCTGTTGTTCTTTAGCTGTCTCTAGCATCTGATTCAGGAACAGGAACTGCTGTGTGGCTGACAGGTGTTTGAGGGAAATCATGGATGGTGATTTGGGGAAAACGATGGATAACATTCTTCACCCATCTACTTAAGGTGGTTTTTCCTCATTAAACATCTATCTCAGGCAAACTGAGTGCTCCTGCTTCCAGAGCCTGAATGAGTAACACCAACACGTTTTTAGCTGACCATTGGAGGAGGACACAGCAGCAAGGCAGCCATTCCACAACAGCACACAGAAATAATGACCCTGCCACGTTTCTAGCCAGGGAAAGTGCACTTGAAATCTCATGGGAAAATGGGCTCTCTGGGGCTGCAACACCCTTTTGCTAATTCAAGGCTCACAGGACTTTGATCATACTGAGTGAGAGCTTCCAGCATTTGCCATCCTCTGAACTCAGCCAGAGAAGTGACAATACTGGCTTGCCCATTAGCAGGCAGGGCATTTCCCCTGACTGCTCACAGACCTCCGCCACAAAAATAGATCAGTTCTGTTTCTCACTGGAGCATCACATAAACACTTGCAGAAAGGGAGAAGCAGGAAAACTTCGAATTATAAAGAAAAGAATTTGAATAATCACAATCAACATTTTAAAAACTGTGCTTGCAAATAAGCACAAAGTATTTCCATAGACCTAGGAATTCAGATGATAAAGTGCTCAGAAATGTTCTGCCAGAGGGCTCTGTTTTCCCTTCAAGAAGTTTTGATACATCAGCAGCCACATGCCTTAATTTACTGGCTTATGCTAATTTCAGTGACATTTTGCTTCCGATGAGAAAAATCTAAGTGATCTAAAAATCTATGTGATGTTTCAAAATGAGTTTTCACTTCAAATGTATAATACATGCACACAAACAGATTTTGGTTTTGTCAAAACATCTCCAGCAATACAATAACAACAGGAAAATAAGAAGGAGCCATTAAAGGAGAAAAATAAATTGCCACTAAAGGAGGCTGGGGCTTGGGGCCATGGAAAACCTTCCCTGTTGTTAGATACTGACCTTCTCCACTGGCCAGGCAGCATCATTGCTTTTGGTCAGCATGTGGGGATCAGATATGCACTTCTTGATTCTGCCTCACTGAAAGGAAACTGAAGGATTAAATGATCCCTTAAATAGCTTCCAATTACAAATTTCTTCATTTTAACACTTTCTAGAGGAAATAACCAAATTCTTGAGTTTCTGATTTCATGGACCAGCTCTTTGAACCTACTGCATTCAAACAATGGTGATTACAGAGTATTCTGAAATTTTGTTTCCATATGAGCTGGAGATATTAAAATAGACATGATCAAATTAAATTAGATTGTATTTACAAGACTGCAGTAAAATATTATTACTGGCATTAGGAAAACTTCTTGGGAAACCCCCGGCCAAGCAGGGATGCAGGACTCCCTGACTCTAAATTATAGTGCAGATTTTGATAGTCTGTTTGTAGGTGAGTATCACTGTCAGGTCATCAGGAGCAAGTCTCCAACCAGGTTCCAATGAAAGATTCATAAGCTTGAACTGATCCTGGCTTCTGATCCCAGTTTTGAACCATGGAGTCTTTCAATGTATGGCTTCAAGCAAACTTGGTGCTGCTCTAAGCAACTTTGGATATCAATACTTTTCAGAATGAAAAAGGGAAATTGTCCTTTGACCCTGATTTATGAAATAACTTGCACTCTTTTTAACCCATAAAGAGGGCATTCATTTTTGTCTTTTGGAAAAAGCCAATTATGACATTTTTCCAGGGATGCTCTTTCCAAGGAGATTCAGCTACTGCCATCTATTGATACACACTGTGAAGGGTTCACTGTCAAAGTGCACATCTTCCCTGCACCTTTTCTAAGAGAACTGTAGAATATCAGGGGTGAGAAAAGGACACTGAAAGAATGCTTCTCCTTCCCAGCAGGGAAAAGCAGGGATTTGTAATAGGAAGAAAATACCAGGAGGAGTTTGAGGGTGGGGTAAAGGCACACACAGGTTTTATTTTACAGGTAAAGTCTCCAACAAGAAGGTCAATATCCACATGTATGGGGTGATCTGTCACTGACTTCTCTGAAAACCAGTCTGAGATGTGCAGCTGTGTTTTCCTCATTAGCTCATATTTAGATGAGTTGGTCAACATTCAGCTCTTTAACATCAGCCCAACCTCACTGGACATGCAAATCATCCCAGCCTTTGGACAAGAACTGATTTCCAACCATCTGTGGAAGGAAGGCACTGACCTGAACTAATTAATTGAAATGAAGCCAGTTTTTAAGGGATGAGACCAAAGCAGGAGAGGCATTGACTCGGAATAAGAAGTGAGCTGTGACCTCCAGCAAAGCCCTGCCTACGTGCCAGGGAGCAAACTGTGGGCTGAGGAAAGCAGCTTGGGCAGAGGGAGTCCATGGGAGTGGAGGAGAAAACAGGGAAGCAGCCAAGGTGGAATTTAGTCATTTCCTGTTGTGTATCCCAGCAAAATACTGCCATCCCTCAATCCTTCTTTTGCTTTTCCTTGTGCTAAGCAGCAGCCTTTATCTCCTCCAGTCTGAGTCCCAGGGTCTGACAGCTGTATAACAGACCTAAGGGCTTTTCCAATGCTATGGCTTTCCCCTTCTCAAATAACAACTTTCATGAACATTTCTTCCTCACTGCCTCTTTTACATTTGATCTTTCAAAAATAAGAATTTCTCCCTTCTGAAAATGAACTTATATTGCCTAAACAGAAATCTGCTTTATTAATTTGTTTTCAGCTGAAATACAAAAATTTCCACTGCACACTTCCTGCACTATGTCAGCATCTTGCTAATGACTTAAACAACACAGTTTTTGTTTTGTTTTTTTTTTTTTTAATGATGCATACTGGGGAGAGGCAGAGTCTATCTTCAGTTACTAATTTCATTTATTCAAATTACCAATACTTTCTAACCCAATACTACAAAAAATGTGCTCAGGGAAATTTGGAAGTCTGTTGTGTTAGGATCCCCTAAACAAAATGCCATTAGAGCCATGCCAGGACTGAATAACACTTGAGAAGCAATTGTTCCACAACAAAGTGAATTTCCACCTCACAACAACTATTTCTCAGCTTTTTGTGTGCTGGTGCTAAGAAGATTAGAGAGAGCAAGTAAGCATTTATAATCATGGAGGGAAACCAGAGCACTCTCACTCCTGTCTGAGGTGCTGGCTGGGATGTCGGGGCTGGAAGGTGACGGAGGCCTGAGGGCTCCCTGTGTCCCTGGACCGGCTCCTCAGAGCTCCTTGGTCCCCTTGGCCATGGCCAGGCTCTCCTGGGTGAGAAGACCACTGCAATGCAGGGAGGCACAGCCATGATGGACACTGAGAAAATGAAGGGAATTAGCACTGACAAGCCAGTCAGCTGCTCTGTTAGAGAGTGCTGGAGTCATGGACATCCCACCTGATGTCAAGATGTTCCTCAGGGAATTACAACCACCTATTGCCTACTAGAAATACACAAGTCATAGGCATTGTTACCCAGCTTTTTACCCTGGTTTTTATTTCTACTATTGCAGTGCTTTGACCTTGAGTCAACACCTGAATCAAAGCTCCCCAAGCTCCTGGGTTTCCTTGTGTGAAATACATAAATAAAAAGAAATAGTTCTTTGTTGCTGGTTGCATCTTCACTAAAATGCATGCAGGAACAATAGGTCTTTTCCACTTGAAAACAGAGCTCCACACTTCTGGGGTGCCATTTCCTTTCCAAAGACTGCAGGCTCACCACAGGCCCCTTCCTCCTCTCATTCCTACCCTGTTTCCTTCCAAACATAAATTACACTCCTTACTATTGTAACAGCCTGCACACGATCTGCTGAGAATAAATACCCATGTAATGAGCTGAAATGATGTGGTAATTTCTTAATTCAAAATAATTACATGGCTATTTGGGCCCTCCAAAGTAAGGTATTACTTATTCAGCCCAAACAAATTGCTGTTTGCCCAGGCTTTGAACTCTGGTAAACAGCAGTGCAGCAGCCATCTGCATACTGAATCCTGAGACTATTTTGTGTTCAATGTTTACATACACAGAATTGGAAACAAATATTTGTCAAGGCAACAAGCAGCTTTTAGCACAACCAAGGGGAAAAAATCAAACCAGAAAGCCCTTGGAAACAGGAGTGAAAACACGGCCAAGTCAGAGTGCTGCAAGGGCACCAGCTGGCTCCAAGTCACCAAATGCCCTCTAAAACATCCCACAAGTTTGAAAATGTCAGATAAGGGCATGGGAATTGTTTAGTTTATCTTGGCTTGTCATTTGTGTCTGAGTTGAGTGCCAATCTCCTTGTGTCACCTGGAGACACAGATGGGAAAGCCACCACAAAAATGAAGATGGAAGGAAGAAAGGAAAGAAGAGTGAGTGAGGGTAGACAGACCTTCAAGCCCTTGATTTCAGCCAGCTCTCCCCGAGTCAATAAAACATCTTCCACTGCCTTTGGTGAGGGCTGAGCAGGCCTGGATTTCAGAGCAGCAATGAAAGATTTAAAAATCACCTTGTGAGCACCAGCAGAAGGCTCTCCATGAATGTGAATAAGGCAAGCTGGAGTCATGACTCTTGGCTTCTCAGAGGTAATTCCCTGCTCCCTGACACTGCCAAAAGCACTGATAACCAAGGACTTGGAACTGGACTGGTGCTGCTTGGTGGAGGAAGGCAGAGCCCTTCAACAGCCAGGGTGGGATTGAGTACCTCACAGACCCCACTGAGGGAAGCACCAATGGACTGCATTGAGGGGCTCCTTTGCTTCTGAGACGATTAAATATTTGGGCCTGGAATGGAAATTAAATCCACACTTGACTTTCTACTCCTCTATTACACACCTACACTTCAAACACACAACATTGAGTTTCATACCTGTATTTCTATTTCTAGAGTTGCTGATTTAAAGAAGTGGACCTAGATGAAAGATCTGCATGCCATTTCCTACTTCCAGAGGGAAAAAATAATGAAATAAACTGAAACATGGTTTTTTCTGGTTAAGTACAACTTGGGCGAGAAATAAAACTCAGCAGCCAATGTTTCCACTTAAAAAAACAGGCAGACTAGAAAAGCAAGATAATTCAGAGGCTCTCAGATTACAACAAAATAATACATACCCTGTTTTAACAAGGATTTGCAACTTACAAGAGAGTGGTCCAAAGGGCATGAACAGAACCACTGTTTGGCTTCTAGAAGCATTTCACATCTGCTAGGAGTCATCTGATGTTCTAAACCTTCAAGAAAGCAGAAAACACAGAATTTTCTAACATATATGCAAAGATACTAAAGCTTCATATGACTTCAGTGGTAGCGTTCATTCTTATGCATACTTTGAAATTTTTGTTTCAGCATCAAGTATCTCTTAATCTATTTATATATTATAGATGGACTATTCCAGTACTTTCACTTAGCATTCTTGCTGCTGAAGAATCAGCATTATACTCTCTGCTTCATTTGCTGATGCTGTTCAAGGAGTAATTTGGAACACTTGACCTTACCAGAAATGGCAGTTCTCTATGGCATCAGTAAAGTTACCATTAAAATCCCCCAACACTGCTTTGCATTGTTTGGAAACAAGCTGCATGTAAGAGTACCACACAACACTGTGTGCTCTGCTATTTATGCAATTGTTTTCCCAGAAACCACTTTTTTTTCTCTCATTATTTGCATTTCCCATGGCTCAGGAAGCAGGTGGGTGCAGTGCAAGGCTGCCTCCCTGGAAGCAGTTTTCTGCTTGCTTGCTCTGAGGCTGTGGCAGAGGCTGCAGAGTCCTGCAGCCCTTCCCATGAGCGAGAGCCCCCAGGCTGCTTTCTGCTCTTTGGGCCAGCCAGCTCCATCCAGCCTTGCTTTGGGCTGGGGCTACCCTGCCCTTCTGACACCAGCTCTGTTGGAGCTGCTCCTGACACTAAATCAGCTGCACATTTTCGGGAGAACACTGTGAAGCTCTCCACAGCTCTCTCTATGGATTATTTAAAGCACCACAAGAGGAGAGACACCCCAGCACAGGGTCCAACATCCAAAATTCTGGTACAAGCAGCAGGGCATGCAGGTGCTGTTGTCCATTTGGAGCAATGATCTCCAGATGATTTTAAACACATCAGCTAAAACGCTGGTTTTTATTCTAATGTGTCATTAGATCCACTTGGATAAATTCATTTATCCATCTCAATGCTATTGCTTGTTTCAGCTTGCTTGGATTTAATTCAGGCCTGAGCTCTCTGCAATCATTTGTTCAAGTTTATGACATTGCACATTGTTGACTAATAGCTTCATTTTGCTGAATCTCCATTTATTACTGTCACTATTACAGCAGGATTTAAATTTTTGTAACTTGACTATCCTAGCATGAATGTGACTTCATTGATGTTTGACACTGATCCTGAAGACTCCTCTTTGACTGTTTGTCACCTAAGGACCAAATACTTCTGCTGCTGACTTTTAAAATCAATTATAATCTTGCAGGATTTGGCTCAGAGGATAACCCAAAGTGAAAGGCAGGGAGTCTTAAGAGAGAGAGTTTCCCAGTGCATTACATGAGACTGATTTTCCATGTGCAGAAAAAAGAGGTCTGCTAAAGGGAAAAAAGCCAAACAAATCCAAACTCCCCAACCAAACGAAAAATCTTCAACTCAGAGTCAAGTCTTTTCTACGATACTTAAAAAATATGTGTAGATCTGTTTTTCAGCCACTAAAATTTTAGAACCTGGTGTAAAAAATTAAATACCCATCAATAAATCCCTTTATTTGATACTATGAAAACATATAAAATATTTAAACTAGAATTTATCATTTTTAAAAGTAATATTCCTCTCTCTGCTTTCCAAAATACATAGTTTCATGAACTGAATCTCCAAGCTCAATAAAAACATTGAGGCAAAATGAAGTGCTGTGCTGGGTGATTTTCCATCAATAAATAACCAGATAAAAGCTTTCACTTTCAGAGTCATTCCCTGTCTGTATAAATGACAAATGCAGATCAATGGAATCCTCAGACAAAGAACAATACAGTATCTTAATGGAATGAGCAAATTTTTCCCTGAAAATATCCTTTCACACTATGAACCATAATTGTTCTTTAAATTCCCAGCAAGAGCATCCATTGGCCTCACACTCTGAATTAGGCAGAAAAACATGAATTTGAAAACTGTTGGGGGAATTATTGACATGTGGGTAAGCAGGAGGGTCTCTCAAGCAGATTAAAAGTAAATCTATTCTGAAGGCAGACTTTACCAGCATCCCGAGTGATCCCATAAAACAGCCCTGCCCTGCAGGATCGGGCAGGATCTCGTGAGCTGCTGCCTGAGCCATCCCTGGAGGCTGTGCCAAGGCAGGGCAGGACAGAACCTGAGGCCCTGGGGCTGGGCAGGGGAGCAGCTGCACACACAGAACTGCCCAGGGACGGCGAGGCCAGCGGGGCTGGCAGAGAGGCCAGGTACAGAACTGCTCACCTGGGATCAGCTGTGGGAGCCAGGCTCCAGGGCTGCCCTCTCCTTGTCTTTCCTGCTGCACAGAGCTCCAGGTGTCCTCTCCTCAGCCCTTCTGCTCTTCAGCCTCTCCTGCCCACGCTGGGAACCCCTGCTGATGAGAACAGAGCCATGGCAGGAGCCAGCCAGCCTTCCTGGGGGACAGGGGTGACCTTGCCAGGTGCATGTACTGACAGGAATTCCATCTCTGAGCTATTAACACACAGGTTCACCTAAAACTGGCATCTCAAAGCATCTTCCTAATGCCAAAGTTTTCTTCAGAAAACAGTAGTGGGGTCTGCTTTAACCACAATGGAACCATTTATTACATTAAACAGGATAATATATTTTGTTTTAAAAACAATGATTGCCAATCGCATTTTCTTTGAATATTTCCATCTGGGAATTCAGATGTTTTTAGCACAAGAACTTCAACTTGCTGCAGAGCTGAGCATGCCTTTACCTAGTTACACACATCCCAGTTATTCATCATGGGAGAGGTGTTTCCCAGCCCCACAAAGAAAATTGGAGGCCAGGCAATACTAATGATAGGAAAAGAAGGAACCAGTTCCCCCTTGCAGGAGTGCAGTGCTTAAGTGCAATCAAAATGTCATAACAAAATATGTCAAAATATGTTTCCATATCAATGTTCTTGGAAATCTCCATTTGCCAAAGGCAGATGCTAAAATTTTTGTCTCTCTGGAAATAAAAACAAGCATTGAAATATCCAAGGGGAGGAAAATGTGCAATTTTCTCTCATCTGCTTCTGTCTACTCCCCATTTTAGAACACAGCCAAAGTAATGGAAGCCCTTTATCAGTGAGGCTAAGGGTAAAATGGTTAAAAACTCATAATTTGAGCTCCACAGGAAAAGTTAGCGTGACAGACCTCAATCTGGAGAACCCTATCAGTGCAATGGAAGTTTTACCTGGGGTAGAAGCTTTGTAATTGAAATCTAAATACAGATAAACAGATGTATAATGTAACTGTTCATGCACATACCAGACACTAAAAGCCCAATCACAAAGATGCTCTGTTGTCAGAGCTCAGCATTCATTTACTTTCCAATTCCAGCCAATTTGTTGTCACAAAGGCTCTCAATTAAAATGTTTTATTTGATACAGGGGGAGTTAAAACAATCTTTTTATTCTGATTATAGAGATGCACTTAGCAGAATATAAAATAGTGATTTAATGGTCACTTAGTGGTCTGAAGCTTTAAATGAACAAACCATAAATTAAGGGTTTGTAGCCTTTCATGCTTTCCCATTTGGATCCTAAAACCACAATTTGCATTCATCATGTAGGTCCGATACAGAACACCTTGCTCCCCAGTGACATTCAGCTGCATTCCAGTGTTTGTCACAAGGGTGAGCTTGGCACTGCTGCCTTTGGAAGAGCTTCTGGTTTCAGGTGTGGGACACAGCCCCTCCTTGGACAGAACGAGCTCACACTTCTCCAGGTGACTGAGTCTGCCTCAACAGCCAGACTGCATCACACTGAATCCATTTCTGCAGCTCACTGCCTCATTTCAGAGCAGGAAGGGGGGATGAAACCCCCTAGGAAAACTGAGCACAAAGCCTGGGTAAGTAAATGAATGGTAAGATTGCAGTGAGGCTGTATGAAATAAATTCCTTCCCAAAAGTATGGCAAACACTTGAGTCAGACCCATGAGTCAATCTCCCTTTCTTCCTGAGTCACTGTTGATTACAACATATCAGTAATTTACCAGTTAGAGAAAAAAACATTAAAAATAACACACACTCATACATATATTTATGCATTTAAAGATTCATCTTGGGTTAAAAATATAATTTTTTGATTAAAGTATTTTGAGTGGAAAAAAAATCTGAAAAATAAATAGTCAAAGATAAGAAAAGAGAAAATTCCTACGTGTTTCCTCTCTGAATATAGTCTGAACTTCTAAAACAGAATTTCTTGTATTTTTCTTTCAAGATACGTAATTCAGTGCATTATACAAGCAGAAAGTTTTAAAATACTGTTGCCAAAAGGAAAAATGACTGTTCTAACAGTTTGATCCCGTTCCCTGGGGCTTTTCCCCCTCTTTGGGCATTCTGTGCCCATCCCTCTCCCTTGAGGAACCTGCCAGGAGGGCGTGTCCAGCCCCAGCGGTGCCCAGCGGGCTCTGCCTGGCTGTGATCCCATCCCTCGGGGCTCTGCAGTGCCCTGGGCTGCATGGGCAGGGCTCCCCCTGCTCTCCCAGGCTCTGGCACCTCCAGGGCTCCCATCCAGCTCTGCCTCCTGTGCACTTCACTCCCATCAGGGAGCTGCCTTTGCAATCATTCTCCCCTGACCAATTACTCTGGGAGCACCGCTGTGCCTTTCCTCTTGTTCCCACCACTCTCAGATCCATTTTCAGCTTTTTCCATGTCTAAAGCCTACCAGGATTACATAATGACAATGTTAGCATCTCAGATGGCACCTGAGAGCTTACAGCCTCCTATTTCAAAACCCCATTATATTTTAAAAAATAATAAATAGCCCCAGTTTAATGTCACAGAAATTTGTATGTGAATCCTCTGTCACAAAAACCTGGTTCAGCTGCCTCTGGAACTGTCAGCACAGCAAATTGATGGCATCAACAAAATAAGTTCCACCAAACAACATAATTCTCCACTTTTCCCTTTTTTTTTTTCCAGGGGGAAAAAAAAAGCTGCAGCAGCAGCATCTCCTGCAGTCTGATTTTTGATTAAAGAATCAAAACAAACCAGTGAAAAACAACAAAACTTATTATTAGGCCTTCAGAAATCCATCTGCTTACACTCTTCACATCTCTGTCACCTGTTAGGTACTCCGATATTTTAAATGAATTGGTCTATGGTAGCCCACATAAAAAGAAATTTCCATAAAAATCAAGTGCTATTAAATGTTCTGACAAGCATTCACTCACTTTTGCTGAATTCACAGACCACAAATTGTGGAACAGACTAAATTAGAGCTGTGACAGCTGAACTCCTGTTGGGGTGTTAATGTACACAGCCCTGTAAATGAGCTTTCTGGAGAGCTTAAAGCTTAACTAACTTTTTACACCCAGAAAGGCCAAATGCACATTTTGTGACTTCCAGATCACCTCCATGGGCTGTGCTTTAGGCATGCAATCTTTGCTTCTCCCAGTGATCTAGCCAAGCAAATGGTGTATCCAGACACTGAATGTATCCTCAGACAGCTACTCCATTTACTACTGAGTAAAAGCAAGTACAATATTTCTAAATTAAAGTAATGGCACCCTAGCACACGAGATTTCTTCCAGTCAGGAGGAAATTTCATATAATGATACTCTGTAGATACGATACAATATAGACTGTATTATAAATGTTCCATGAGAATTCAAAATTACAGGGCTCCTCACCATTAAGCATCTTAGGAGAATTGTGTTCTCAAAACACAGAGAGTTAACCCTAAAAGACCCCAAAGTTCTCTCTAGCAAGTTGTGCTTTAACAGGGAGTTTCTCCCAGAGCTGCTGCTTTCTTTGTGACTTTCTTCTTCTCATTTCCATCTACCTACTCTGCCCCAATCCCTTCTACCTTCATCACTCTCCTTCCTCTGGGTTATTCCAGAATCCACATTCTACAGAGACTTGTGAAGCACTGGGATGTGTCAGAGGGTTCAGATATTCTCACATGTGGGTTTTCTGCATGGAAGTGCTGCAGTGACTACAGGAACTGATCCCTCACGGGACAGTGACTGAGGAGAGCCAAAGTGCAGCCCTGCAAACAGTTCCTTTACTGATTTACCCCAAAGTGACTGGGATTCTTCCTGCACACTGAATGTCACTGTGCTTTGCAGAGTTTAAAGGACCATGGCTACCTCCCAGGTTGCTCACGAGCCAACACAAAACACCATTGGAGCAGGTCCTACCTTAGCTTCAGACCAGGTTTTTTTTTCATTCCAGTTTCAGGGGAACATGACTTCCCCACCTTGATGTTGTTCCAGCATGGAGTCAGACCATGCCTGGGAACTCCTGCCTGCTTCCACAGGGCAAACACAAGCTGCAAAATTCTGGCCCCAGCAGCAGCTTGGCAGGAAATTCTAGAAATCAAGAGAGCTTTGTAAAAGCAAGCTTTTCCACCTCAATTTTCAATATTGCTATTTAATTTGCAAATTCTCTGCCAAACACTCTTTCATGCAAATCCATTTGCATTTCTCTGCTAAAGACTGACTCAACAGAGGAATAAGAATATTCTAAGAAGTCACCAGACACAAGAATGGTAGAAAGCCAATGAATAGTTTCACAACTGCCAAGGAGTGATATAAACATAAGGAAGAAACAACAAAGTGCTCCAGTGAAAAGTTCTTTCAACCATGAGGTGGATTTGCAAGGAGATGTTGAACAGCCAGGAATACTAAAGGCATTTCAGCTCCTATCCAGCTGCACAGAAAGTGTTTGCTCACTTTTTAATCCTTAATCTTTTCAATATTTCCTATTTCTGAAATATGGATGTTTGTAACAGAGAGCACCAAGATGTTATTTTGATAAGGGAACATGAAGTCTCCACTAATCAGTGAAAAAATGAACCATCAGTGATAAAGATACTCATTCCTTGAGGTACTGAGGCAATCACTGAGAACAGATTACAGCATCAGCGTGAAAACATTTTACTAGCACACATTTCTACAATACCAGGCAAATTTATGAACAAGATAATTTTTACAGGCTGTATTTAGCATTTATTTTGCCAGTGATATTGTACAATGTGGTTATTTCACTAAATGTAAAGCAAAAACAAACTGTGGGCACAGACTATACGAGTATAAATACAGATGTACCTAAATCCTTATCAGTGTTTTAGAGTTTTATATTGTCAATTTTAAGACTTTTATATTATCCATGTTTTACAATAACTGCACAAGGGAGAACCATTCTAGCAGCTCTACATCAAAAGCTTTAAATTGGTTAAAACCATTCTGGTTTAGCTTGTGTTTTATGATTAATATTAACATTACTGTTTTCCAAGGGATAACATCTGGGCAAACAATCAGTAGTTCACAAAAAGTAGATGAAAGTCACCAGTTTTCCAGTTTTCACAAATGTCAGCATATAAATTACCAGCCACTTAAAGCAAAAAGCTACTGATACAACAAAAGAAACCAT